ACTCCCAAAGATTTACTATGGAAGTTAAAAAGTCTGCACATTGTTTCTGCTTGTTTTGGGTATTTTTTTCACTTCCTGGAAAAAACAACCTTAATTCTCAGGAGAACTATGTGAATGACTCTGAGAAATGGGGAAAGAACCATATGTAAAGAAGTTCAGGGAAAAATACATATAAATTGCTATCTTAAGAGGTTATCTAACTACACATGGTGTCCCTGTGAAATATCTAAAGTTCTATTGATGGGGAAAGAACCATATATAAAGAAGTTCAGGGAAAAATACATGTAAATTGCTATCTTAAGAGGTTATCTAACTACACATGGTGTCCATGTGAAGTATCTAAAGTTCTATTGATACTGAAGGAGAGGGTCGGGGTAGTTTGGGTCATTGACCTTTTGACCCTGTCCCCTATAAGGTTCTTGACTTTGCAGAAGGAGAGAACTCAAGAGCAGAGTCAGAGTAGAAAGCAAAAGCAAGTTTAATAGAATGAGTAAGGAATACATACTTCAGAGGCAAAGGACAGGCTGGCTCAAGAGTGAGCAGCCACCCTGCTTTGTCCTGGTTTCCAACTTTTATGGCTGGCTATCTTATCTTAATATATACTCAGTGCTCTATAGAGCCTCTAGTGGAAGGTCATTTAAGAACAAACTCCTTTTTACTGAGTATGCTGACCATTGAAATTGATTAAACTTGCCTCCTATGGTCTCAATCTGCCAGTGTTGGTGCTGAAAATAAGTGCAACATGCAACAGTAACTCAGGACCCAAAGGAGACCCACCCTCAGGGAAACTGAGCACCTCCTACCTCACTATCATACAAATGAATTACTTCTATTTTCTCCCTGTCCTTTTAGGTCATGGAGATTTGACAATCCTTTCCCTATAAATCATTTTTTTTTTTTTTTGGTAACTGGCTGGTACTGGGATCTGAACCCCTGACCTTGGTAGCATAACACCATGCTTTAACCAACTTTCCCTATAAATCTAACACTGATTATCTACCTGACAGAACAGGTCTCATATACTCAG